ACCGTCTGGATCTACTACAAGGGTGATGAAGTGAAGACACTATAAGCAATGAAATATTTTCATTATATAATATATTCTTTGCAGAGAGGGCTCAAACAAAATTACGGCTGTGGTACGCTCGCTCAGGAGCTTCGACAGAGAACAACAAAAGGAATTTTTCCTGCCCATAGTGATCAAAGACAGTGGCAATCCACCCATGAGTGGTACCAGTACTTTGGTAATCACTATAGGCGATATCAATGACAATAAAATGAGTGAAGGTTATAAAGATATTATTTTTATAATTACAAAAGGTAAGTCGTTTAAGGCCATGCAGCAATATTGTTTACATAAAGTTTTTTCGTGTATTTTTACACATATCTTTGGGTTTATTTAAAAATCTTACGAAACATTGCTAACTCTTTTTACTATTCACTGCTGAATGACGTGGTACACATTTTCTTTTTGTTTGTGCTTATTACATAAATAATAGTCTCTTAAAATAGTTACCAGTGCACTACCCTGAATAAAATTTAAACAGTGCACAGTTGATATAACGATTTTATTTTACTGGCCTGGACAAAAGATTAAAAAAGGCACCACATTGAGGATCTGGGCAATTTTGTTAAAGAGACAGAAGATATATTGAGGGTAAGGTGGTAAGCCGAGCGACGAAAAGTCTACATGCAAATTTGGGTTAGAATTCATAGAATCCGCATTTATCTGATAACTGGCATTATTCATTATGATTAAAATAATTCGGCAGATCTTCAATTTTGTGTTAGTTACGGTAGTAATGAAGGTATAGAGACTCTTATCTTAATTATACAGGGTGATTTACAGCCATGAGACGTTAATTGTTTATGGAGAACAGGTGATGGGATTTTTTGAATTTTTCATAGGTGCTTCATCTGTTTGAAGTGTTTCAGCGTTACAATGTTGCTTCCCTAGATCATATATGTGGATAAATCAACGCCATATAAGTTTAGCGTTAAAAATATGTCTCCAACATCACGACATGCCGTTTTCAAACCTTAAACTTATTGCCGCGCAAACGTTCATTAGGTTTGTCTACCTCGAGGACCTTACTTTGCGCATGCGCATTAAAAGTTGCACGTATTTCCAAAATAATCACATTTTTATGCGGTTTATAAAGTACAAATTATACATTGTTATGGAAGCCAACTTTTCATTACATCATTATATTGTCATAATCTTGCGTGATAGCAATCATATATAAATCTTATTTCCATTGTGTAACTTGCACAAAACATCCCCACCTTTAGAACTTCAAATACATCATGTTAAAAATGAGAAATAATAATAAAAGCGCCTCTCGTGTTTGTTTACACTCAAAAAATTTCAAATAAAAAAAAAATATTTTTAATATATGTTTTAAAGGCTACATTTTTTAATTGTCAAGTAATATATTACATTTAAATGAATATATTAACAATTATGTCAATTACAGGATTACAAGCTTGTTTTCTAACATTTTTTAAATAAAACAATTATAAAATTTCAATATATGTATATTTGTCGTAGGTATGAAAAAAAGTAAAATATAAAAATGGACAAACGCTTACTTACATTTCAATAAAAATAAAAAAAACATAATATTTTCTATTTTACAAGCCAAAATCCGACAACACTAAAATAAACTTCCGCGGCTGACAAAACTGAAAAATATAACGGCACTTTTTGTTCTGGACCTGCATATCAACATTACGCTTTACTATTATGTGAAGCAACTATAAAATATCTAATTAAAAAAAAAAAAAAAAATTTTTAATATTTTAACATGATTTTAATACTTTTGACAATAAACAACTTTTTGTTATCAAGATGACATTAGACGGCAACTGACATATATGTCATAATATTTGAATCTTAAATATGTATGTAATGTAATATTAAAATTACATAATGCAGCTTTATACTAAGAAAACATTTATACATCCACAAAATACAACAAAGTCCTAATAATAATATAGTTTGAAAACAATGAATATTGAATTAAAATTGAAAAAAAGTTAAGCGCGACCCCTTGTGTCAAAGTTAGATGATTAAATTTTCGTAATTTTTTACCATTTGATGATCATGGCGCCTTACTCTAGTGTTCGGGCGGTTGGGCTCTTACTCCCGCTTATGGCCATTAAAGAAAAAGTTCTAAAAGGGGGATGTTTTGTGGTAACTTGTTTTATGCGTTTTTATTTTAAAATTGTATTAATTACTCTTTTATCGACCGCTTTTATATAGCCAAGGATGCAAATGTGTTCAGTGGTAATTTTAAGTTTGTGCAATTATATTTCTATTTTTTTTCGTTGGACGTTCTAAATACTCTAATAAAAATAATTTTATTTTTTTTTTTTTTTTATGTTTTGTTTTCTATGCATTTACAAATTAAATTTTAAAATTCAAAAGGTTCAAATTTGGCGCGTGGACGCTAGCTTCTCGACAAAGATAGACAGAGTAGAAGCACCGAGAAAGAATAGAGACAAAGATAGACAGAGTAGAAGCAAAACGAGAAACAAACAGTTGGCATTCTAAAAGGCATAACACTCGTTTCTGGTTCTAGAACGGCGCACAATATCAGTTTGAGCTGGGACGACAGGGACCGAGCGATGAAAATATACGAAATAATATGCATGTATTGATTTCTTTCGGAAATCGACAACATGAAACCTGAACCCGTCCCGGACACAAACGGTACATTGTGAGACAGGAAATTGTAGAGAAACGAGCCCTATAAAATAGGATGCAACATTTTAATGAACAGTGCTTTCCATAAAATCCAATAAAATGAAAAAATATACGAAATAATATACATGTATAGATTTATTTCGAAAATCAACAACTATGAAACTATGGACAATCTGGACACAAGCTGTACATTGTGAGACAGGAAGTTATAGAGAGAAACAACCTTTATAACATAGGATACAACATTTTAATGAACAGTGCTTTTCATAAATCAATAAAATGGAAAATATAAGAAATAATATACATATATAGAGATAACCAGGAAGAAATTGAATACATAAATCAATCCAGATTTATATCGTATTTTTAAATATCGTTTTTTTTTTAAAAATAAACATGTTTTAGGGGCGTGTCACTTTTAGAAAACACCCGGTATATTTTTTTTTTTTTTTTTTTTTTTTTTTTTTTTTTATTAGAAATTAATATTTTTTAATATTTTTTTATGGGTCTTTGACAGAGAACAAACTGTTTCAGCCGAGGTAAAAGTGCTAGTTAAGAATCTCCCTGAGGAAGCTATCACAAACTCTGGCTCCTTGAGGATAGAAGGGATATCAGAGGAAGACTTTGTACGCATTTGGGATTATAAGCTAGGTGTAAGTTCAGGTATACAGTTTAGTTAGGACCCCCCTCAGTGGTGTTGGTCTTGGTTATAAAAATATTTTCTTTCATAGCAACTGTTAAAATTGCCTTATATATCTATCAAAAGAGTAGATAAAGGAATTAAACGAAAAAAAGAATTAAAAAATATTGACTCAAAACTGACAACTAAAGATACAGCTTTATTTGTTTGTCAAATTACATAGAAAACCAACGCCAAACGCCAACCCAGCACAATATTTTTTTCTACACATAATAAATTCCGCGAAATAATAATTTCTGAATAGTTTCCTAAGAAACTTGTAACTCGCTATGTCTCCCGAGAGTGTTAATAATATTAGATAATTTTAACAACTGCTCAGCATTGCTAAAAATGCCATATTCTTTGTACAAATTGGTCCATTAAATAATCAAAATCCACCTTGTTCACACCTTTATTGTTATGGTATTTAGCAAAGCTGTTTCGCGTTGAATATAACCTCAAATTTATTGTTTCGCGTGCAGCTTAATCAATATATTATACGTTTTCGGATAATTTAGCACAAACCATAATCCGTTATCTGCAAAATTTATCGAGCTGCGTGTTTGTTAAATCGGGTTGATCATTAAAATTGTTTATAGTTTCCATGTCAACGTTCCAAAAAAGATAATCTATGAAAAAATTAAAAAGATTATTTTCTAAAAAAAATGTTTTTTCATAATTCTGATTTTTATGATTTACATTTCTTTGTTTGTGGCATTTTGGTTCCAAAACACTAAAAAATCTGTTAACAAGCGAAAGAATACAATATTATTTTCTAAAAATCACTGATTTTTTTCATAATTCTGTTGTCTCTGACTACCATTTATTTGTTTATAACAATTTTGTTGCAAAATAATTTTTTAGAGTAGACTTAACACTAAAAAATACTCGAATAACATAAAAATACAGTATATTTTATAGTTCACAGTGTATTACGTTTCAGCTAAATGCAATATTAATGTAACTTAATATTTACCTGCAGTTAAAATTACTGTTAAATGCATTTCGCTGGATAATTTAATATTCAATCAAAATGCACAGCATGTTTTGTGGTCAAATTTTGATAACGTATTTAATAAACAATTATTTGTTTAAATGAAACATATACACTGCATATTATTATGAAAATAATACCATAATGCTTATTATTGCTATTATTGAATTTGCCTTTGTAATAATAATTAGAAAACTAGATTAATAGACATTGTCGTACAATAAGTTGAATATAGAAATAAAAGAAATATTGTTCTATACACGACGATAAAATTGCATTATCGTATCTAAAATATCATTTTATCGTCTTGTATAAAAAATAACTATTATTTTTTCTTCTAATACCTTTATTTATATGCTTAAATACATAGAAAAACTATTTTAATTTAAAGTTTGTTAAAAAACGATGTTAGACAAGGCAAACGAATTAAGGAAACCTTAATTTAAACTACTCCATGTTCTGTTCGATGTGCAGGACTTGACAGAAAATAAATTGGAAAAATTTCGCAAGAAAATTGCGGAAATGCTGAAAACGCCGAAGGAAAGTGTAGAAGTCTTTGGGGTACAGCTTAAAACTGACCATCCGGTCTCTGTAACAGATGTACGGTTTTCCGTACAAAAAGAACAGGAATTTGTACAAGCCACAACCCTGAATGGATTGATGATGATGAACAGAGAAAAGTTAGAAGAAGCTGTAGGAATTAATATAACCATGGTAAGTCGGATTTAATTTTTAGTTTAGTTTTTAGTTTTTTAGGTTTTTTTTAGTTTTTTTAGATTTAGTTTTTACAATTTTTAGGGTTCCGTAACACAACAACTATCCTGAAATCAAAACTATATTTACTTTAGATGGTCTGTATTTACTTTGCTATAAAAATAATAATGGTAAATCATACAGGATGTTCAAAATTCTACGCCAAACTTTCTAAAATATAAAATATTTTTTTTTGTTTTTTTTAATGGAACACCCTGTATATTATTTTTCAATAGTTGGAGAATTAAAAAATAAACATTTTCGGTATTTAATTTCGCAGATATTAGCAGTTTTCTATTTCATATTGCATTTTTAACAGTAAATTTTTATCAAAGCCACCCAATGATTTATTATTACCGTTGAAAGTGCCATATGAAGTAATACTGCGTGTATCTGCGAAACCATTCTACTAAAAAAATAATATACAGAGTGTTCCATTTAAAAAAAAATCAAAGAAAAATTATTTTATATATAAGAAAGTTTGGCGTAGAATTTTGAACACCCTGTATGATTTAAGATTACGACATTTATAGCAAAGTAAGTATAGACCATCTGCAGTAAATACCTGATTTAAGGACAGTTCTTGCATTTGTAATAATTTTTTTAAGGAAGCTTTGAAAAATATATATTTATTATGTCTGAGACTATCGAAATATATTTACTCATATCTTAGGATTATGTAAAATGATCTGAAAAGAAACCAAAAATGCAATAATATACAGGGTGTGTCATTTAGAAAAAAAATCATCCTAATCTACTCTCTAGAATTGAAAAAAAATCCCAAATACATCCTCATACAAAGTTTAGGTTCGCACATAAACAAAATTCCTAAGTTTTTTATTCTAGGAGCTACAGATGCCCGACACCCTGTAGGTTTTGCAGAACTGAATTTCAGGAAAAGCTCGAAAAAAACTGTGAAACTTTTCCGGTTTTTTGTGGGAAAATAATTCAAATCAATTTTTGAAGTCTTCTTTCTTCTTCTTCGAGAAAAAAATAAATAATTTCAAAAATGTCACTGATAGGACTGTAATTACTATTATCCCGCGAATGGTAAAACTTTTGACAGCCAGGCGTCAAAGCTTTAGAGAGGAAGCTTTAAAACAGGCGTCGTTTTTTTTTCTTTTGTTGCTTCTCGCAGTTTGATTAAAAGTTCCCTGTTAATGGTAAAAGTTCGGAGTGAAATTGTTAGAGACAGCGCCAACAATAGAGACGTTACAGAGCAAGAATACCTGAGATTCTAGTTGTAACAAGTAATTTGAACGATTTCTATGAATACAGATTTTCTATTAAAGTTTAATAGAAAAATGGATCAATAGAAAATACCATTTTTTGAAATGAATAGAGGCAGCGTTGCCACAGCTACCCCATTCGGGGTAGATCTATCTCTTTGTATAACAATTTAACTCTTAAACACTTAAATTAACTAATTATATATTTTTTCTTGCATTTTTCTACTTGTCAAAAATTAGATGTCAAAGAATTTAAATACGTCAATTTAATTTACCTGCTTCAGTAGCGTATCGGATGTTTGTGTTAATAAAAAATTATTATAACTTATCTATTTTTATTAGAATTATATATTTTTGTAACAATTTTAATAACTACCAACATTTATTCACAACGTAAAATAAAACAACATATTATTGAGTCTACCCCACGTTTATCCTACATCATAGTTTTACATTTTTTAAATAAAATTAGAACGGCACTGATAAACCGGAATTTAAGTCGGCCATATTTGAGGCCCATCGCGTTGGACATAAGATTTTTGATATGCTCCTTCCTTAGTCTTCTTGTTCAAAGCGCCATACTTATGGAAAAAAGAGGAAACCTGCAGCAAACTTCTACAACACCCGACACTATAATCAAGCTAGACTTTGAGAAATTTCGGGAACCGACTAACTTGGAGAAGAGCAAACACTAATAAGAAATTAATGTGCTTAGGTTGGAAAAACTGTGTTGGGAACTCTACAGCTTGCGGACTTTGATATTAATTTTCCAATTTTCTCGGAAAATTCGCAAGGAGACTCCGTTGGAAAGCTGCCACAATCTTGGTGTATCTCTCTTCATTATATTATGCATACTGCATTCTTTCCCAGATACAGGTTTAATCTTCTAAACTTTTGAACACCCTGTACATATATCTGTCTTCTGCAAGAATGTATTAACTTATGTACATTTTTGTTAAACAAATTTGATCATTAATATTGTTTATCTACGTCAGTGAGTTAAGAAGCTCTTAACTCATGCATTTTGAGCGAGTTAAGAGCTTCTTAACTCACGAATTTTCATTAATATTATATTATAATTGATTTTTAGGATAGGCACGTACAATAATTTTTAAAATTCACGTTAAGTACTTATACCTATATTTATAAAATTCGTTGTGTGTTTTTATAGTTAGACGTAGATAAAATATTGTACAATACACGCGAGTTAACTCCATTACGATACTTGTGTGGTTATACACTTGCAACTTTTACACATATATATTATAGTTTCTTTGTTTAAAAATACTACTTTCTAAAAATACGTGTTTTCATAATTTTCCTGTCTCTGATTGCAATTTATTTGTTTATGGCAATTTTGTTTCAAAATAATTTTCTAGATCAATCAAAACAGTAAAAAATCAGTATACATCTAAGCATATAAATATTTTTTAAAACTTCACAAAATAAAAACTATTTTTTCAACTCAAAATTTTTTTTTAGATCAAAGAATTAATTTAAATAAAAGCACAGGCAAATATTAAATTTCTAAAATAACTATGAAGCGAAATTACGTTTTCTAAGTCTTTTGTGATAGTAATTTTCTAGAATATGCCCGGCAATTTTAAATTTTCCAAGCACTAGACAAAATTGCCACTCGACAATGTAAAGAAAATCTCGGTAAAATGCGGGAGACAAACAGTTAAAATCGACAGGGATGTGTAACTATCAAACATTTTTATTTAATTTATATAGATTAATATTTTATTCATAAATTAATGAGCGAATTAATGATACGCCACTGTTTTATGACAAAATTGAAGACACTAAACTAAAACTAGTTTTAGTGAACCCTAATCGACATTTGATTTCGGAATATCGAATATACATAATATATCATATTTTACCCAAAATTGTAAAATTTCCAGGGATTTTGTGCCTAAACGGTTGACTTTAGCGAAAATTTTCATAAAGCCTTTTTTATAGGAAATTTTATTCTCTTTAATTTTGCTCTCCTCAAATTTTCGCGAAAAACGCATAGTTTTCGAGATATTCACAAAATACCGATTTTGGGCGCCATCTTGGCAAGATGGCGATCAGATAGTTGATCGAAATTTTTTTATTGCTATTTTCAATTGAAGAGGAAATAATATGAACAAAATAAAGGATAATTCGTCGATTCTAAAAAAAGAAAGAAAAATCACTGTTCCAGTGTTTCCACGGTCAATGCCACTAATGCCAGTAGTAATATCGCAACTAATGCTACGACTGATCCGCGAGCAATGCCCATATCACTAAAGTCGCTACTAATGCCAAATTATGCTATACTGCTAATGGCACTAATGCCATCGCTTTGTACACAACAATGCCATCGCGGTTTACACCTCGCATTAGTATATCACTGATTGGCAAATTAGAGGAAACCAAGAATGTTTTTCTCATTTTATCAGTAAAGTCGCAAAAAGTCGCAGTATTTTATTTTACTGTATGAAAGTCCAATGTTTACTAAGTAAAACGTATATAGACAATATGCTGAATTCTTCGAAATGCGCAACTAAATCTCTAAGTATAATAAAAATGTCACAAATTTAATCAAATTTTCTGAACGCCTAACTTTTAGTTGCAAAAAAATCGTTAGTATAGAGAATATCAAAATAAATAATACGTATTTGTAGAATACATACCTGCAGCTTGCTGAGCCATTTTCAATCAAAACAATAATATAAACGTTAAAAGAGCACAAGAACAACAACAATTTATAATTTTAAACATAAAATTTAGCCATTTACCTCTTATTTGTGAGAAGTAACAACTTGACGTTTCGTTGAAACATATGAATGCAACTGAACACACCCATAGCAACGCCATTCATGGCAGACATGATTTAACTTATCATTTATCTTTTTTTGGGAAATCTTAAACACATTTGCTTTTTCGAATTTCGATCACCTTTTTCATGCTAATACCCCACCATGCGGCGGCCAGTCTTGAACTGTGCATTTTATGGATTTTAGTTAGGGACCCCAAAACCTATAAACCTGCAAAGTTGCAAAACTTCAGGACTTTTTTCCAAGCAAAAATCCCTAATGACTGAACTACTATCACAACCCTGGATTATAGAATGATTATTTGACGTTTTCTGATTATAGCTCCATGCTGCTGCAATTGAGAAATGCGGGCGCATAGAATTCACGATTGAGGGTTCGATTTAAGTACGAAACTTTCCTCAAACGTTCGCTCAAACTTTCCTCCGATTGTGGAACGAAGCGGGTAGCTGGTAAAATGTAAACACATTTTCTGGCTTGTTCTATTCCGAATCCAGCCGAATTCTCTGCTCGTTAGTGTGGTTTGGCACTTGAGATCTGAATTAAATATGTTTTTCAGTTCCTCTTTGTCGCGGTGTGGAATAGTATGTAACTCTGCGACAAACTGAACGTTGCAAAGATTTAATTACAATACGTCTGGTATTTTGAAACGATTAACTTTCCTTATATCATTCCTATTTTACCTAGATCGTATACAGGGTGGCGCCTCTCATACGCCGCGGAGGCTCCAAGGAGAACGACAGTTTGTATTGAAATGAAATTTTATGAGCAATAATAGGTTAATTCAGAGCAATTTTTAAAAATATAGAGAGTTCTACAGGGTGTCCCCAAAAAAAGTTACATATCAAAGTTATGTTTTTTGTAATGAAACACCCTATATATTAATTGATTTTTGGATTCTGGGAGAAAAATAAAGGTGAGTTATATAAGAGAAATATATGATTAAAATGTAAGGTTTTATAAGGAAGTAAAGAACAATTTTTAAATTACAATAAAAGCTACCTAAACTGTAATTTACCCTGTATAGCCTAATATTTAGTTAAATTAACTATTGTATTTTAAATCAAATTAAAACTTGATCCAAAAAGGTATACAGTGTGAGACAAAATGAATAAAGAACATTGGTCACCTTTAAAGCCATGTTACTCTTTTATTTTAAATGGAACAGCCAGTATATTATTCCGATATTCAATGAAGAAGTCATGTCTGTTGTGAATACTATTAAGGTTGCCTACCCCTGAAACAAAAATTTTTGTTAGATTTGATCTGAGTAGATCTTTATCTATACTAATATATAAAATCCTTAAGTGACTGACATACTGATTAATCACGATCCTGCTCAAACCACTCAACGTAAGAAGCTCAATTTTGGCATACAGGTTGATTCTAGGATGTAGAGGTTCGATAAGAAGGGATTTTTCGAAATTCCAGTTCCAAGAGGGTGAAACCACCCCTCAAATATTACAATATTTTTTATTTAAAAAACGTCAAGTTTCCGAAAAAACGCTTAAACACGTATATTTTATTTTGTTTTTTACATATTTTAAGATTTTTTAAAAATATATACAGGGTGTTTCGAAAAATCTGGTCATGGATTAATCACGATCCTGCTTAAGGCGCTTGACGTAAAAAGCTGATTTTTGGAAAACCCATTGACTTTAGGGTGTAGAGGTTCGATAAGAAGGGATTTTTCGAAACTCGAATTCTAAGGGGGTGAAACTATCCCTCAAATATTAAAATAATTTTTATTTAAAAACCGGTGAGTTTTTCGGAAAAACTCATAAACACTTATATTTTATTTTGTTGTTTTACATATTTTATGATTTTTTATAAATTTATACAGGGTGTTTGATAAAATATGACCATTGAGTAATCACGATTCTGCTTAAACTGCTTGACGTTTAAAGCTGATTTTTGGCAAACGGATTGACTGTGCGGTGTTGAGGTTCGATAAGGGGGGTTTCTCGAATCTCAAATTCCAAGAGGGTGAAAACGCCCCTCAAATATTACAATATTTGTTATTTAAAAAACGGTTGGTCTTTCGGGAAAACGCTTGGACAAGTATAATTCATTTGGTTTTTTACGTATTTTGAAATTTTTTAAAAAATCATACAGGGTGTTCCAAAAAGTTAATAGGTAACTTCTTAACCACGATTCTGATTAAATTGCTTGACGTAAAAAGCTTATTTTTGGCAAACGGATTTTTCGAAAGTCAAATTCCAACAAGATGAAACTACTCCTCAAATATTACCAAGTTGTATAATAATATCGCCATATTGTTTTTTCTCATGCTGACATAAATGTGAGAAAATTTTATTCAGTTTGTATGTTAATGGAAATTCTTGCTTTGCTTTATCATCACCATTACAAATGATTAATTCGACCTGAACGAAGTCGCGGGTACACGCTAGTTATTTAATAAAATCTAGGTGGCTGTCATATGTCTGACGTTAATACTTCAACATAGATGCCTAATTAGTCCAACTTTAACAACAAGTTATCATTTTGTGTCAGTTAAAACAAAAAAAATTCTCAGAAATTTGCCGAAAATGCAAACTTATCCTACATCAGAGATAACTGATATGATTCTATTAGTTGGTACTTGTCATTAAGAAACACCCTGTAGAGAACAAGTGATAACAACCCTCAAATCAATCAAGCCTCAATCATTCCAGGTGATTCGATCAATCAGTCATTCGTAACATAAGATTGATAAAAAATACTCTCTCTTGCACGTTAGTTCATCTAGTTTAGTTAGCCATCTACTTTTATACGAAAAATTCTGTATTTTGTTTCTTAATTTCAGATAGGGCTAGACGAATGCCTGGATGAAGAAGAGAATAAAACATGTGACGGATCCTGTAGGAACAACTTATTAATTAGTGCCTTATCCTACATGGTAAGCCATGTTTTTTTTGTTTCCTTTTTGTAATTTTATTTAGTTTTTCCTCAATAATTTCAGGTAAACTCGAACAAATCTTCTTTGGCAGCACCAAAAATCACCCTGGAACCTGAATGTTCTTGCAAAGCAACCACCTCTACACAGCTAGAAACATGTCAAAACAACCCTTGTCTAAACAAAGGGAAATGCATCACAGTTTCAAAAAACTCTGCTATGTGTTCGTGTCCTTTAGGTTTTGATGGTCCAAGATGTCAGAAAAATATTATTAGTTTTAAAGAAAACGGTTTTTCCTGGTTTCCACCTTTAGAAATCTGTGATATCAATCATTTAGAACTAAATTTTTTAACGTTAAACCCGTCGGGGATGTTACTTTATAACGGACCTATATCCCATCCAAAAAAACTGGCAAATATAGTGTCTGATTTTATTTTGGTGGATCTCGAGGAAGGTTATCCAAGACTTTTTATCAACTACGGTTCAGGAACTATCCAAGTAACTGTGAAAACAAAAAAACCTCTGCACGACGGTGATTGGCATCACCTTGACGTCTTTTGGAATACAGAAAAAATACGTCTCATTGTCGATTACTGTAAAGGAGCTGATATAGTTGAACTGGAAGACGAGACAGCGTCTGGATTCGATTCTAGCAGCTGTCAAAGTGAAAAAAATGTACCAAATTTTCGTGAATATGTCAATATCAACGGTCCTCTTCAAATTGGGGGGTTGTGGATGGATGATTTCGATCCTTCCGAGTATTTTTGGGAAGATAAAATAAAAAATAGGTTTTTTAATGGTTGTATAAGGGATGTATATATGAATTCGAGGTTGATAGATTTGGGAAATCCGGCCATGTTTCGGAATGTTAGTAAGGATTGTCATTATATGGAAGAGATGTGTCAGAAGCTTAAAGAAAACGTCGGGTAAGGTTTTGAAAAAATGCCAATTTAAAATACAGGGTGTTTCAAAAAACATTTGCCATCTCTCACGTAAAAATAAGATTTATTTTTCATAGCAACATAGGTCTGGTTCCTGCTTTGTTCATATGTTTTTTGAAACATCCTGTATTGATTTTTCTATACAGGGTGCTACAAACTCGAGGTACGAGCATCGGTATCTCTATCGGTAAAATACTATCAGTTAGTCTAAAAGTAACGACAGGAAAAAATAAAATTGATTTTTGAAAAAATCACTTTTTTCGATGGCATCTTGGTGAACATCCCAAAACGGCAACTTTGCCCCAATTCAACCATCTTCATATCTATTACGGTTTCCGAGATACCAATGCTCGTACCTCGAATTTGTAGCACCCTGTATACCATAAATAATTGTTACTTTCAGTTGTGAAGAACACGGTTCCTGTAATGGAAACATCCATCAAGCCGAGTGTCAGTGCAAGCCAGGATGGACAGGACTAAACTGCTCAATTTCAACAATTTCAACATCATTTAGTGAACAGTCCTACATCAAATACGCCTTGAGTTTTGATCCTGATCGTTTTCACACAGAAATCCAACTAAAATTCAGAACACGTGAAAAATTCGGTGAACTATTCCGAATTTCTGATCAAAACAATCGGGAATACGTAGTTCTCGACATCAGAGACTCAGTACTGTGTTTTCGGTACAACTTGAACTCTGTGAATCTAGAAGAAACTAAATTAATGTTGAGTGAGGTGAATGTGAACGATGGCCAGTGGCATTTAGTGAAAGTAACGAGATACGGTAGTGTGGGAATCATTAAACTTGATGACGGTGAAGGTTTGAGGTATAACGAAACGTTTCGTTTTGTGGGGCATCAGTTTCTGCACATAGACAAGCAGGAAGGTGTGTTTGTTGGTGGTAAAGCGGAGTTTACCGGTGTGAGAACGTTTGAAGTGCTGTCAGATTTTAGAGGAGGTAATTTCTTCTAATTTATTTGTCAAAGAGTTACCTAGATGTAGTTTGAAGAAACTAAATATACCTCTGCGGCGAATTCATCGCTTCAAAAAAGTCCTATTAGCAGTATTTCGTCACTGTAAGAAATCAGCAAAAATAATAGTTATTTTTTAAATACCGCTGCGTTAAATAGTTATTTATGATATACGTGCGAAAAGAGTCATTTTATTTTATGAAAAGGAAAGCTTGGTTCCCTTCGAAACGCCAATAAAATCGCCTTTAAAGCACAATACATCACTACCCTTTCATTTTTCTGCCAAAACAAGTTTATGCTCGTATATATATCAAGGTATTATTACTTTCTACGTTAATAAATAATTCTGGCAATATGTCATTCCGAAATCAAATTAATTATGAAGTTTATGGTTGCTAGTTGTGAGCACTCACTAGCCACACAAGATATGTGGCTAGGATTGTTTACAGTACAAATGGCAAAATACCCATGAACTTTTTTTTGAAGAGTGATTTCGTACGGAATTTTTCGATGAATTGTTTCAAATATAAAGTAGTGAACAAAAACATTATTTAAGGTTGTATAGATGACGTAAGACTTAACGGAAAGCATCTTCCTCTTCCACCCCCTCGCCAGAAAAACATCCGGCAGCATTGCATTGCAGCAAATTTATAAAGGCTACGTAACTGAACGAAGTTGGGCTACTGAA